TGACTAGCTAATTTAAATGCAGACAAAACAAACATACATAGGGCCATAGCTCTATCAGTGAGAGGTTTATCATCACCTAACCAAGGAGGTTCTTTAATGTGACTTATACATTACTAAATCGGACGATTGCGATAACTCTAATATCATAACTCTTTGATTTATTTGTATAAGATCAATCAATTTTATAAATTATTATATTGATGGATAAATTTACTAGAATTATTGTTAAGAAATCTAATTGAATGATATAGTGGTTCACAAATTAAAGCAATAGCGTGAGAAATGTTTAAAATGGACTGAAAAATTCCCTGATTTTTTATAAATGAGGAGTTGGACATGATTTGGTCTAACTCTATGTCAAAACCTAATGAGTACGGTTTCTAATTTCGACTTAACTTGTCCTTGTATTTCAAGAATAACACTATATATACTCTCATAATTTTACTCATTGCTTATGTGGCATACTCTAACTAATCCCAACAAAAAAAAGAAGTTACAACTTTTATTTATTTTTTATTTTCATTCATTAACAAAATTAAAATGTGTCAAAATTATATTACGCACTTATTACTACACCAAAAGATATAAATCGTAACAAAAAATGTAACTTTTTTTTTTTTTTTATACCATTTACAGCTATCCCCTTGCGCAACAAGATACATGACACTTCCTCAAAAAAAAAAAAAAATATCATTCTATAATTATCTATTAAGGGTGGCTGCCTATTCAGGTTTACGTTCCTTTATAATCATCCCTGGTATGACATGTGCATTTGAATTATCTGTCTCTTCATTTCATTTTCTTTTATTTTCCATCAATTGATGTGTATTCTTCTCTTTTCTTAAATATTGTCTAATGAACCAATAAATTAAGTTAACACAGACTATTTCATTACTCTCTAGTCTCTAACATGAATCGCAATGTATCATAATTTGCCATAAGGATTAATTTCAGGAATGATTCCGTGATTATTAACTTTTTTTTAAAAAAAAAAAAATTGTATTCTCAATTTTTTAATTCTACTATAATTGATCCCTTAACTATAATTTTATTCTAATTTTTTATGATAAAAAATTTGTTTAGAGGCATCAATTAATCAAATATGGAATAAAAATGTAAACTTATGCATTTCATGTCTTTCAACTATGCATAATGAAAAGTTCAAGACTAAGAGCATCCTCAATAGTAATGAGTTTTTTGCAGTTTTTGAGGTGTCAACTAGTAGAGAGAAGATGAAGAAATAAAAGGAAAGAAAAAGAAAATTTGCCAAAATCTGTCAGGAGAGAGAAGATCATCTGCGTTTTCCTTGTTCTCACCTATTGAGGGGCCCACGAAAAAACATTGGAGAAAAAGACAAGCTAAAAACCACCCACCATATTTGTTAAAAACCCAAGATCTAGTTTTTTATATACAAAAATTCAAGTAAAAGCCTCTATTGGGGATATCCTAAATGAGTAAACACATAGCTAGAAGCCTTCCAGTGTTGCACGCCTAAAAAATAGAGCCCGCCCCACCATTTTCTCGAGGTGAGCAATTTGATATTATAGGCTTAGCCTGTTTTGACTTTTGATGGCTCTAAATAACGTTAAGCAAGTATTTATACAATGTTTAATTATTATTATTAGATTATTACAATCTTATCGACAAGAAAGACTTGCATTTGATGGAGATATATAGTGAATTACGGGAAAAGAAAGGCACAAAGTGCTGAATTTCTTACTTTTGTCATCATAATTAGCGCCTCCCAAATGGACTTCTTAATTAATAAAGAACTAAAGTTTAATAATAAAGAATTAAAGTTTGAACAAAATCAATAATCAAGTGATCAATTACGATTCAATTGAAAATTAATGTTAAAAATTTTTAAAGTAGTCGAAGGACTATTTGTGAAATTAAATTTTGTAATTTGATTATCTTAAAATTGACATCACTAGAAGATGACCACCTAAGTATTAAGAATGATTGGGTTTAGCCCAAAACGGGTGGCTAAAGTAGATGGAGCATTATCTAATATCTAAATAGTAATAAATTGAATACTATTAACTCTATTATAAGGTAGTATCTCTTCTATATTTTCTCAAACTATTGAAAACCAAAGAGTTAATACCCCACCACCGGAGTTCGATCCTGTGACGTTCTCTCAAGAGGAGTCACAGAAGTGCTATCTGAGCACAAGGTGCTTGGCAACACTTACCATGGTTGGACCCATTGTGAGCAGATAGCCATTAATGTGCAATCCAATTATCAGCTTAGGCTTTTAGTTGAGATGGAGCACATGCTTCAATTTGGTATCAAAGCCAGACTAAAGGTCATGAGTTTGAATTTCAATGCCACTCATAAGCGACTACGGTTTCCAATTATCAGCTTAAGCTTTTAGTTGAGATGGATCACATGTTTCAATTCCCATAACATTCTTTTTTTTTTTTTATTGTTTTACAAATTATTACTGAGGAATAAAATTTAATCACAACAGATTGATATATTCAATGCTTTCATGTGGTATTACAGTCAAATCTGCAGGTTAGCCTTACAAATGTATATTAGATAGTGGCATAGAGAAGATACAAATGGCGAAACTTGTAAGGAGGAAATTAATTCGAAAGGTATTGGTGGTCTGATCTGATTATGACAATCATACCATGTGGCTTAAACTATCAACATTAAATTCACAAGAGGTTCAAGTGGCTAGCTAGCTAGCTCCTCCATTTGATATTTTGTGCACAAATTAATTAATTATGGTTTGGTTGCACCCCTTTTCCTTTAATTTCAGCAATGATAGATAATTGATTGAGGTGTAACTTACATAGAATAAAATATTTTTAGAAGGAAAAAAATAAAGTCTTTTTTTTTCCAAGATTTTGGAGGACCTAGCAAAACAGCACATTTAATTAATTTCCCATTTGGTAATAAATAATCATCAAAATTATATAGTATATTATTGTCCATAACATTAGGTGAAGTTTTGAATTTTATTCCTCTACAAAGTATTGTGTGTGTAAATGATAAGTCTACTTGCACCAAATTTTGTATCATAGAGTGATTCTATTTGCACTAAATTTTATATCTTCTGATATGACTTTTTTTTTTTTTTTTGAATGCTTCTGATATGACTTTTTTTTTTTGAATGCTACTAGCTCTTCTGATATGACTTTAATTTATATATAAATGTACATTATTGAAGATCCATCATATTATTGCAATGGCTCCTTTTTTTTTTTTTTTTTCATTTAGTGATTTTTGAATATTTAAACAAAAAAATAACAATAATAATTCATTTCAATTATGCATGCAACATATAAAATTTAGTGCAAACTAAATATTTATTTATTTATTTTACATCCATGTCTGTGGGACTGTGGGCATTATTGTGGTTTATAGTTTGAATATGAAATGCCACTGAAGTTGTTTACTAGGTAATAAAGCAAGGACAATGAAATTATACTTTATATATAGCGACACGTTAACTACCTAATAAGAGTAAAGGTGCTTATTTTTCTAGAAGGTCGTCACCATTGTAAGCTGTATTAGTACTAAGCTAGGGCATAGTATTTATTAAGAATGTCTGTAAATGGATGGATGTGCAAGTTAGTTTGTTAAATGGACAAATCACAAATGTAATTATCCCATAAAAGTTTCATATTAATTAAATGACACATTTTTTTTCCTCTAATCATATATTTTCTCAGCCAGTCGATTGGCAACCATACACTAAAAGTAATTATGTTTGTCTGGATTAGGACCTCAAGATTGACAGAGATATTAAGTGTCACTTTTTTTTTTTTCAAGAAGAATATGATTATTTGTATTTATTACCTGATTTATTTTAGAAAAGAAAAAAGTGCTAAATAAGTTTTTTAAGTTGATCAAATTAAATATTGCAATAAGTCCCATATTAAAAAAAAAAAAAAAGAAGCTCAATTTAGACATTTTAAACCAACAAAGAAGTACAATTGAGTTATAATCTTATCTATTAAGCAAGTTATTATATAGCATTGATTGCTAATATATCAATAAATTTAGCAAAGGATTAAATAGATACAACTTGTAATAGATAGAGAAAGTATAGAACATATATTACCTTGTAATATAGACAATAGTACTAAAAAAAAAAAATACAACTTAAATACCAACGGATTTAAAAAATTTACCTATGAAATTCATTGATAAATAAAATACATATATATGGATTTCAGCAATTTACTTAACTACAAAATTTTTCAGTTGGTAAATTTTATTTTTCTCATAATGTAGACTTCGATATGTGCTAATTTATGTAGAATTAGATAGTTGATCATAAAATTTTGAGTGTTAATTAGAGTGATATTTTTCACTTTTAATAACTAATTTTAATTTGTTTTCATCTGAAGATCTCAATGTTTTTTACTTTGAGAAGTAATAAATTGTAAACAAAACAAAGCAAATTAAAGTTGCATTAAATTGAACTTTAGAGAAAAAGTTGGTTGATCTTGGTCCACCTAAAGATGGGTGGACCAACACTGTATTTTAAATGTAAAAATTGATAACAATATAGTCCATAAGTCACTCAAGCACTGAACCGACTAGACTTGGCTTTCCTCAAAAAGAAAAAAAAAATCATAATTTATACGGTGCATTATTATTTGAGCACGAATTCCATATTTACCCGACAGGTTCAACGACCACCAAACTGTATTTTTTTTTTCTTTTTAATTTCCTTTGTCCCGCAAAATCGCAAATAGCTTTTAATGCTCCAAGAAATCTTATTCATTTACATGTTACCTTATTATGTATCCACAGATCCACCCATCTGTCACCCATTCTCTCCTCTCTTCCAAATTGTCAGAATCAAACATTTGTAACACATGAAAAGGTTACAAAGTCTTAGCAAAAGTCAAGATTCCAAGAATCCAAGCTCCATCTCGCCATTAATGGACGCCTTTCCTTTTTCTCCATGACCCATTTCCAAAAACCCTTTAAAGTCCAAGACCCAGTGCGCGTTTTCCCTAGTTTCTTTACTCTCTACCTGGTTTTGTACGGTCTTGCATGTTCAGAGAAGAAGAGAACAACAAACAACGTACGAGACGAGATAACGACAGGAAAATGGCGATTTCGGGACGGGGTAGAACGGTTCTGATAGTGACAGGGAGAGTCGTTAACAACGTGCTTAGCTTCATCGTCTTCTCGTTTCTTGACGTTCTGGATATCGTCCTGTGTTACGCTTACAAGTTAGCGGATTTCATGGTGGAGGCGCAGTGGAAGGCGTGTTACTGCTCGCCGGTGAAAGAGGCGATGACGAGCAGCGACGCAATCTTGGTCTCCGAGCCCGGAGAATCCAAGGTTGTTCGCCTCACGTCGTCGAGCCAGCTCCGGCTTGACGAAATCTCGGACACGTTGTACACCCGGCCGTCGCTGGTGGCGGAGGTGTCAAAGGGGAACGAGATCACGAAGCTGAGAGTGGCCGCCGGCGGGCGGCCACCGTTCACGGTTAACTCCGCCGTTGTTGAAATGCTGCAAGAGAGAAACGGCGGCCGGCACAGATCCGACCAGTCCGCTCCCAGGTGGTCGGATTGCGACTGCGAGACGTGTCATTCTTGGGCGTCTTCTTGTTGCAAAGACACGTTATACGTTCATGTTGAGGGTGCAAAAGGTGTAAAAAAACAAACAAAATTGGAATTCTTTATGTTTAAGGTAATGAGCATTAATTAAATGTGGATGTTTTTTTCCAGGTAATGGAGTGCAAGAAAACGTGGTGTTCATTCATGGATTCATTTCGTCGTCGGCGTTTTGGACGGAGACGCTATTCCCAAACTTTTCCAGGTTGACGAAATCCAAATACAGATTATTTGCAGTGGATCTGCTGGGATTCGGAAGAAGCCCGAAGCCAAACGACTCACTTTACACCCTCAGAGAACATCTGGACATGATTGAGAAATCAGTTCTGCAGCCACACAAGGTGAAATCTTTCCACATCGTGGCTCACTCTTTAGGCTGCATTTTAGCCCTCGCACTCGCCGTAAAACATCCCGGCTCGGTCAAATCTCTCACTTTACTAGCACCCGTAAGTTACAAAATCAATATATTTTATTAATTTACTTCATACCCTACACCCTGGTCCAACACTAGAGTAGTGATTCAGGACCATTAAGTGAGAAGACCAGTATTTGATATCACATTGGGATCATTAATATTACTTGCCCACAAAACCCAAAATTCCCTAGCTCCTCAGAGTTCACGCGATACTGGAGGGATAAATCAGGTGATTTAGTGGTCCATTAAGTAGAAAAATTAGTGTCTGGTGGTAGGGATAAATGGAATTATATGTCATTGTCTATTACTTGTTCACAAAAGGTAAAATTCAGTAGCTCCTCAAGTCCCACAGGATACTATAAGGATAAATCAGGTAATTTAGTGGTAGAGGTAAATTAGATTATGTATCATTGCCTACAATCTACCGTCCAGAAATCAACAATTTTATTAATATTAGTGGTGAACTAGTGTGAAAGTGAGACCGTGAAAGCGATGATTATATTGCAGCCTTATTTTCCGGTGCCGAAGGGGGAGCAGGCGTCGCAGTACATGATGAGGAGGGTGGCGCCGCGGCGGGTGTGGCCGCCGATAGCGCTGGGGGGATCGATAGCGTGTTGGTACGAGCACGTAAGCCGGACGGTGTGTCTTCTTATCTGCAAGAACCACCGTGTGTGGGATTTTCTTACCAAACTCATAACCAGAAACAGGTGAGGAAGTCATCTATCTGTCTCATATCTACTTACTTTAATTCCTATTTCTCCCCTAACTCTATACTATACTGTCATCATCTCTTCATTTATGGTACAACAAAATACGAGGCGTGTCAATGCTGCCCCGCCAACTTTGAAAGCGCCACACCAATCCCATTGACCACGGTCTTCACCTCCTTTTTCTTTATTATTATTATTTTTTTTAAATCAGTACCTAAGGATATGCACTGCATAAACCCTGCTTTATGACCTAATTGATAATCACTACCTGAAAATATTGCTTAAATCATGCCTATTGAGGGTGTGCACTAATTAAACTTTTCTTATGACATAATTGACCCTATCTGAATGTGTATATTGCATAAATAGTATCTTATGACCTAACTGGTAATCAGTAATCACTATTGAATGTGTGCATTATTTAGACCCTGCCTTATGACCTAAAAGGTCGTCCTTACATGGGAATGTGCACTGTTTAAATTCTGTTTTATGACCTAACCTCTATTGAATGTGTGCATTATTTAGACCCTGCCTTATGACCTAAAAGGCCGTTGTTACATGAAAATGTGCACCGTTTAAACTCTGTCTTATGACCTAACTTGTTAGTAGGCGGTCAGTATCTAAGGGTGTTTATTGTACTGCATAAACCTTGCCTTATGACCTAACTAGCAGGGCTTTTCCCCATTATTATTAAGACTGATAAAATTAAAATAAAATGTGATGGATGAGCAGGATAAGAACGTATTTGGTGGATGGTTTTTGCTGCCATACGCACCATGCAGCATGGCATACACTGCACAACATCATATGTGGGACCGCAGCGAAGATGGAGGCGTATTTGGAGGTGGTGAGCAACCGGCTAACGTGCGGCGTGGCGGTGTTCCACGGCAGAGACGATGAACTCATCCCGGTGGAGTGCAGCTACAACGTAAAGTCAAGAATCCCCCGCGCCCGAGTTAAGGTTTTGGAGAACAAGGACCACATCACTGTTGTTGTCGGAAGGCAGAAGGCTTTTGCCAGAGAGCTTGAAGAAATTTGGAAGAAAAATACCACGTCTTAATATTTTTTTTTAAAAAAAAGAAGTATATATAAAACTATTACTATTAATTAAAGTATGTTTCGCCGTCAGTATAATGTCGGTCCAGTGTTAAAGGAAAATGGATCGAGACATAATGATGTATCCATCATGCATGTATTTATAATTAAGGAATGAAAGTTTGAATACAATTGCAAGTTTTGTTATATATCATCCTTAATTTCCTCATCAGCTTGACTAGAACAAATAAATATATGTAAACAAAGCTGTAATGGATCGGAGTACGTACGTGTCGGGTTATTGTGATAAAGGTGGAATCGCTCAGCTCAGGGGTTGTTCTTTAATTATGGTGACTCAACAGTTCAACAGAGGCTTTTAATTTGTTCACTGCGCACAAAAAGCTCATCTCAAGCGTTCCCACATCTCGACCCAATAGTGTTTGTGGAGTGGTAAATTATTTGACTCAACTAATCAACAGAGACTTTTGCTCACTACCACATAAGAAGTCCTCCTCACTTTGAGATGTTGCTCCCACACTTCCGTTGGTGAGACTCAATCCTTGATCTATTGTGACAAATTCTACCTCTCTATATGCAAGTAAACAAAGTTGTAATGGAGTACGTGTGGGCCTCTTCCATATACTGTAAGAAGCCAATTTTCACGAAAAATCTCCATTAAAACATTAGCTTTTTCTATTATCGTTCTGAATAAACGTAACAAATTCTTACACATTATCCATTTTTTATTTTTGAAGTGGTAAATACATTGAAGTATTGTATTCGGTTCTCACACACACACACACACACATACACACACACACACACACACACACACACACACACACACACACACACACACACACACACACACACACACACACACACACACACACACACACACACACACACACACACACACACATATATATATATATATATATATATATATATATATATATATATATATATAATTTTGTACGATGTGTGTGCATGCACAAACCTAATATCAATTTAAATTTTTAGTTGAGACGAAACACATATTTTAACTTGGTACGTATATGTAAGGTTTTAAGCCTAGTGGTGCTATGATTAAACACTCATGCTCAAACCCAAGATCAACTAACAAGAAGATAATAACCGGTAAATCTAGAATGGACACATGACTTTTATGTGAAATCCCAAAAGGAAAAAATATTGAACAATTTTTCAGCAATGTCAATTAAGCCAAATTAAATAGGGTTCCACTATATATATATGTTGTTGTATAGTTACATTTACATGATTGTGGGCTCTTGAGACCATTAATGGAGGCTTGCTTTGGTGAAGAAGATGGAGGGAAAGAGAAGGGAAACGCTTAACTATTCAAAAATTAAAATTAGTTATTAAAAATGTATACATTAATGGCTTCAGGACCCCAATTAAGCATCTGTGAAAGTGCTGTCCGACAATGAAAATATGAAAGCCTGTCAATTCCATTAAATAAACAACATTATTGGAACCAATTTATACGCATTATATTGGAAGAATTGATTGATAATAACCCAATGAATTGAAACATCAAGGTTTAGTATCCACCAGTTTCGTACGTTGCATGTAACATGAAGAGATTTTTTGTGTGTAGGAGGTTTAACATCCATCTTAATTTCCACAAAAAGATTTATTAGCCACCAATTATAGCTTTAGTAATTAGTAGTGAGCAGTACGTGACATGAAACGCCGAGGCGTTTGGTGTATTGGTATGGCACTATATATCCCATTTGCATCCACTTCACTTCAAGCTAGAGGTAGCCATCATTCATGCATGTCAAGTGATGTTTGTCGGTAATAATAACTTCCAAAACGATACTTTAATGTTGTTATAATGAAACTAGTGTGTATAAAAAAATAAAACTATATAAAACAGAGCACATTATAGTTAAATGAAACTGTAGTATATATAAATAAAATGATACTTTTTTGTTATAATGAAACTAATGCGGGTAGAAAATGAAACTAAAATGCAGAGCCATATAATAACATATATTGTCGAATGAACCTGAAAATGTAATTAGAATAATACTTCAGCATTACTATAATTAAACTAGTGCGTGTGAAAAATGAAGAAAAAAAATAGAGCTCATGCAATAATGTATATTGTCAAATGAAACTATAGTAGAATTAAAATGGTACTTTGGTATTGCGATAATAAAATTAGTCTGTGGAAATTAAAATGAAAAACATAGCAATATTGTCAAATGAAGCTGAAATGTAATTAAAATTATACATAGTTACATACTTCATGGTCTATGATGCTACATAGACCATGGTCCACTGTAAAATTTACAATGACCAGTTCATGGTGAACACGGTTCCAACGGTGTTAGTACACCGTTATCTTTCTTTTTTTTCTTTTCTTTTTTTTCTTAATTAATTGCGTGACTTTTCTTCTTTATTTTCACATTTTGCGGTTTCACTTTAATTTGAGGTGAACAAAGATTTCGGACATTCATAAATTATGAATTCATGCCTGCACATTCACTTTGGAACCATGCCTACACATTCCCGTCCGAAATCACGGACATTCATAAATTATGAATCCATGCCTGCACATTCACTTTGAAATCATGAGATTATGAATTTTCTGTTATAAGATTATGAATTTTCTGTTATGAGATTATGAATTTTCTGTTATGCGATTATGAATTTTCTGTTATGAGATTATGAATTTTCTGTTATGCGATTATGAATTTTCTGTTATGAGATTATGAATTTTCATTACATTCATAATTTCAGACATTCATAAATTATGAATTCATGCCTGCACATTCACTTTGGAACCATGCCTACATATTCCCGTCCGAAATCACGGACATTCATAAATTATGAATCCATGCCTGCACATTCACTTTGGAACCATGCCTGCACATTCACTTTGGAACCATGAGATTATGAATTTTCTGTTATAAGATTATGAATTTTCTGTTATGAGATTATGAATTTTCAGTTGTGAGATTATGAATTTTCTGTTATGCGATTATGAATTTTCTGTTATGAGATTATGAATTTTCATAAAATACATAATCTCATAACAGAAAATTCATAATTTGATCAAACGCGCGCCGTTAACTCCACATCCACGAATTTTTTTTTTTTTTGCCTAAAAACGACGTCGTTTTGCCTTGTGTTCACCATTCTCGGTGAACACGATTCCATGGCATAATTTGCGTTATACCATGGACCAGGGTCCACCTTGAAAGATGGACCCTGGTCCTCAATTGTGTATTTTTAGTATTGAAATTGTAAACTGTTAGAATATAAATTGTGTTTTTAAATTTTGAGAATTTTTGTATATAATACAAGGTCATCACAAATTGTGAACATTTAGTATGTAAATTGTGTATCTTTAAATTCGGATCCACAGTATTCTAATTTTTCTTTTAAAAAAAGGAAATACTTTTTATCCCTCATAATCTTCTTCATCCTAATTTCTCCTCTGAATATCGTTTATAATCATTGAGTGTCATAAATTAGATGATCTTATCAAAATTTTTAAAATATCGAATCAAATAGTGCAATGTCAGGAGTTGAAATTAATAGGAGAATTTTTTTTTTTTTTTTTTTTTTAGGGATGAATAGCATTTCTCTTTAAACAAAATAGTTTATGTCTACTTCTTGATTGTTCATTCTCTAAGACTCAATTGGTACATCTAAGTCTAAGTTAGTAGTATAAGTATGAAACTATATACAAAAGACCTCGATATTAATTATTGTCTCGTTTTATGTTTTTTTTTTTTAATCTACAAAGAAAATCAGTAATGGGCTTCCATTTGGACCTTTTCTGATATCTATGGACCACGGAATAATATTTAAAATCTAAACCTGCAACTCTGCAAGACTACTCACAACTTGACCCATAATAGAGAAAAAAGACAAATTATTATGTGGACCATGGTCCACATAGTGTTGTGTGGATCATAACTAAAAGTATATTTTTAATATATTAAAAGTACATTATTCGTGTACTAAATGTACATTATACAAAATAATGTACTTTCAGTACTCAAATAATGTACTTTTCTTGAATACAATGTAAATTTTTAATATATTAAAGGTATATTATTTGTATACTGAATGTACATTATTTGATAGTATGATCTACACAATTGTGTGGACCAATGATTGATATAATTATTGCCACAAGCCATTGCCTCAGATATTTAACTATCAGGATAAAGATTATTGGAATTTTTAAAAATACCACTGCACAAGGTGTTGTAACTTCAAAAATAAATAAATAAAAAGAAAAGAAACCAAAAATCCATATTAAAAGAAATTGTATATTTCTCCTTATTTTTATGGCAAGACGTGAGACATGTACCTATGTGCGATGAAGGAAGGAATACCCTTTTTGGGTACTTTGGCACCAATTCCAAAACAGCATTCTTATCAGTCACCTTCTCACATAATTAAAAGTATAACCATCTTAGGTAAGCAAAGTGATTTCAATACAGGAGAAGATTAATAAAAATAAAATAAATAATTTACAAGATGTAAACAAAATTTTGATTAAGCGGTTTCAAAGGTGTATATAAAAATAAATGAATAAATTTCATTGTACTCAAAGATAAAGTAATATATGCATTTCAACAAATAAATTTTCAACATGTATTACCATTCATCTTTTGCATAACAGTATGCATATCTCTTAAATCCTTATAAACGTATCGAATAGAGCGAGTTCCTCGCAATACCAAAGCCATTTGATTGCCGCAAGGGGTGATGGATTATATATATTATTGTTATTGCCACTTGTTTGGCATTAGCTTAGCTTTGTTTGACAAATTAAAGTTTAATTTATTTTGAAAATTATATTATACCTTATTTTAAGGTATAAATAAGCCCTCAACATTGTTTGGTATGTAAAGAAGAGTTTTAAATAACCTCATATTTTGAAACCATATCTTTATACTATTTCATAAAATAATCTCTAGCCTTTCATTTTTATTTATTTTTAACTCAAAACTTTGTTACTCACTTACATTACAAAAATGACACACTTTATAGGCAAATTATGTTGTGCATCCGTATGCACCCTGCATGGTGCATACAGATGCAAAAACGTCATCGTTTTGCATAAAACGCGCGCTATACTTTTAAAAAAAAAATATGTTTCGATTCCCAGTAACAACATTATGTTATTCATTTTTAGTTCATTCATTTTGGATTTTTT